TTTGGTAAAGTAAAGGAAAACACTGTGAACAGTGAAACTCTCCTCTGGCTCTCATTATAAAAATGTATTCTTAGAGGACATTGTGATTTGTGTCGCATAGAAAACTTGCATAATGTTCTCTATTCTTGATGTACCAGAATCTTTCCACTAACCAGTCCTGCCTGGTATTTATGCTCTACTTTTCTATATTTCTTCAAACTGTAGCAAAAATTCCTTCAGGGCCGTATAGCAGAAAGAGTGGGTACGTACTAAACACGAGACGTCTTTTTGAAGTGATCACATCAAGATTCATCAGTTTTGAAACTAGTCAATCTATGCTGATTTCATGATTTTTATCAAACTCTCATCTATTATATGGGCAACAAAAATATCCCAAATCAATGCGTCACCAAAGCCCTTGGGAAGGTAGAGAGCAGCCCCTCAGATTCAGGGTTCTGCCGAGGGCACAAATATATTTTAAAGTAATCTCTAAAAAATCCAAAACGATGGAAGGGATGATAAAACGTTTCTGTATAAAAATGAACATTTCCTTAAAACAGAGGAGAATGTGGTTTGTGAATTCTTGGTGGATTCATTCAGATTCAAAGTTAAACTTATTAATTCGGTTCTCAGAAATCGAGATGCTTAATGAATACCAGCTTGTCCAAGGGCATATTGGGATGAAAGAAGGCTCTCACATACCCTTTTGGCAATCCTTTTTTAAAACACCGTTGGAATGACCCTTCATTTAAGTTCCCCTGTCTCCTTTACTTTGGCAGTTCTTTGTTGCAGTGTCTCTTCCCTTGGTCTCAGAGCTCACACTGGTCGTGGAGTTCGGTGGGTTTCCCTAGTCACACCGTCTTCTAGTGGCAGGGTAGACATCACAATCAGGGGTAGCATGGCTTGGTCCACATCAGCCCACGTGTGCGAGGCTCACCACCAAGCCACATCCTGGGTCCTTACATTTCTCCTTTGTAATCAAGATTATATAAAACACTGCTGAAGAGTGTCTTGATAGTCATACATTTCCATGTTCTGTTAAATAGTAGCCTGCTATGTTACTGCTGACCCAGGCAGGAGGGAGGAAGTTGGAGCAAAGTGGGAACGGTGTGCTCTTCCGTAGGAAAGTTGCAAGCGTGCAGTGAAGCGAGGCTTTCAGTGGGATGCGGTGTGCCTGGTGACCAGACCTGCAGGGACCTGTTTCCTCACACCCAAATTTGTTACCTAACTGGCAGTGCTTGGCTCCGGGAATCCTCCAAAGGTGACTGACTGATCACTGATTTGCTCAGATCCTGGAGCCCTGGGATGGTTGGCTGCATTTCTGGCCAGCGCTTGAGCTTGATATTGAAATTTTCCAGTGAAATTACAAAGAGCACCTGAGCCTGGGCCAGAGCAATGCGGGAGACAGAGAGAGCACAACAGGGTTTCGGGGAGACACTAGCTCCCTCAACCCCCCTAACCCGCCCCCAACCCTTTTACCGTCTCCCTTCCGGGGAACTTTCTGTCCTTTCTCTTCAGCATCCTGGTGCTCTTGCTCACCTAAAAGCCAGTGCTCTCAGGAACGCTTTCTGCGGTGGTTTCACCATTTCCCCTCTCTCCTCTCCCAATTCCTGTGCAGAAAGCGCAGGTGTTGCGTCTCCATCCCCTTATTCCATTCTCTGTTCCATCCCTGTGGGTTCAGGGATCCTGAGGGCCAGAGGTTCATGTGAGGATTCGTTCTGCCTGTTTTCCCAGCGTCTCTCTCATTCAATTCTCCATAGAACATGTCACAAACATGACCAACCAGTTCAGGGCTGGATGCGGTGTCTGCAAGGTAAGTTGAAGGGAAGTTGTGGACTGTTACAAGTTGTACTTTATTTTCTACTACTGAGATATATCACCAAGTTCTTAATGTGAAAAGCTAAGATACGGATTCAGTAGAGTAGGGTGGGCCCTAATTCAGTGTCCTGTTCCCCTGAGAGGACAGTCATATAAAGATCCAGGAAAATGGCATGCAAGGTCATGATGAAATATTTATCACAAATATTGTCTGTCATGATCCAAAGAGTAACAATGGGATTAGTAACCCCCTGGGAGGGTTAGGAAAGACTCGTCTGGCCTGAGCACTGTAGTGTGAGAACTACTGTGTCCATACAATATAACTAATATTATTAAGTAGAATTAAGAGTCTCCTGCCCCCGCGCCTGGCTGTCCTCGCCAGGCCCCTTGGAGGAGGGCGAGTTGAGTTTCCCTCCCCACCTTGAGCAGAGCTCTGGCAGCCAAAGACCTCCAGAACCAGCCACAACCATGCTGAGACCACTCTCCACACAGATGAATGTACTGGCAGAGAAACAAAGGCATGTAGGTTCCGGGGCTGAGATTCCAAGCCTGCTCCGATCGGGGTGGAGCATCCTCCACCCAGATCCTCCATCTCTCAGTAGGCAGGGGTCATACCCACCAACTGCCCACTGGCGCTGTGTGATCCTATCAATGGCCAAGACCCAATATGCCAAATACCAGTAACAATGATGGGTCTCATTCTCCTAACCCTGAAAGAGCCTTGAATATGGCCCTTTTTGAAATCTCAGGGCTAGGGCGAAGGAGACGTTACTGGGGCCTGCTCGAGGCAATCGGCAAACAAGAGGATGATCGTGATAGTGATCATGAGAATTAAGAATCAATGATTGTTGGACTAAGGAAAGGAGAAATGCTCCTTAGGCCTTTACATCTGCTGATTGAATGACCACACCTATGTGTGGTGGCTACCACAGTGCTTGGAGATATGGTGCCAGACGAAGGCAGTGCGAGTCGGAGTGTGGAGAAACTAGCATGGGGGACAGGAGGAGATGGGAATGAGAGGCAGTGAGAGACTGGAATGGGACGCTCAGTGAGACTGGAACAGGTGCTTGGGGAGAATGGAATAAACGGCAACTGATCACCAACCAGCCTGGCAGCCTCGTTTCCTCTTTCATCTGCCCCTTTGCCACTGGCCATCGGGGTTGGGGAAGCAGCCGAGACCACTGAACAGAGGCAGGGAGAGAGTGCCGCGGTTTCATACTTATTTTGTGATTACACAATTTGTGCTTATAAAAGGAATCCAGTGAATCAGTAGATGGCTTTAACCAAAATAGCTATTTCAATCATGTTCATTCTTTCAAGTCATGAATACCTGACACTTTCTGTTTATTTGTCTTCTCTGCCCTGCCCCCAAATGCTGTCTTCATTTTCAGTGCGCAAGCCTTTCATCTCCTTTTCCCTTGTATATTTAGGTTTTCTTTGATCTCTATCTGCAGTGATTGTAAATGGTATTGTGATTGCTGTGTTTGTTATTTTTCTTTCTTCTATCTCATTGTTTATATGTGAAGATGCGAACAATTTTTTTTAGAATCTTTTTTTTTACTTGCTCTTTGGGTCACACCCAGCGATGCCCAGGGATTATCCCTGGTTCTGCACTCTGGAATTATCCATGGCAGTGCTGGGTGAACCATTTGGGATTTTGTGGATCAACCTCGGGTTGGCCGCATGTAAGGCAAATGCCCTACCTGCTGTACTAACGCTCTGGCCCTGCAACCAAATTTTTTCTTTTTGTTTTTTTGTTTTTGGGTCACACCCAGCGATGCTCAGGGGTTATTCCTGACACTGCACTCAGGAATTACTCCTGCCAGTGCTGGGGAGACAATATGGGATGCCGTGAATCAAACCCGATTGGCTGAGTGCTAGGCAAATATGCTACCTGCTGTACTATCGCTCTGGCTCTGCTACCAAATTTATATATTAATTTAATATCTTATCATTTTATTGAAATCAGTAATTATTCTAGTAGTTTTTTCATGGACATAGGGTTTTCTATTTACATTATCATGTCATCTTCCATACCTATAGTTTTCTTTTTTCAGTTTGGATTTTTTTGACATCACAGATTAATTTTTTATATTTACTAAAATAATTTAGACTTTTCATAGTCTCTCTTTAGCATTATTTTTTAAATTTAATTTAATATTTAATTGAATCGCTGTGAGATAAAGTTACAAAACTTTCATGATATTGCGTTTCAGTCACACAGTGATCAAACACACATGCTTCCACCAGTGTGTGTTTTTCCCCCACCAATATCCCCAGTATTGCTCCCACCAACTCCACCCCACGCCTTGTCTCTGTTGCAGGTACTTTCCTTCTTATTTTCCTTCTTACTCTCTCTCTACTTTTGGGTATTGTGGTTTTCAATACAGATACTGAGAGGCCATTATGTATGGTCTTTGGTCTACTTTAATACACACCTCCCATTCCAAATGATCCTTCCAACTAACATTGACTTAGTGGTCTCTTCCCTATCCCAAATTCCTTCTCCCCAGGAGGCAGGCTTAGTTTGGACTTCTTTTATCCTGTTTATTCAGGAATGATTCTGACGAGAGCTTCCAAAACTGTGTGAAAGTACTGGCAGGTGCTTCTGAGAAACACGGGGCCGGTGAACACTTTGTGTGCATTACAGGTATAGAAGGAAACAAGTCAAGTCGATGAGTCAACTCATCACTTTTCCAGGACAGCCCATAGAGAGGCATTGCTGATCCTGTTTTAGCCTCTCATAGACTCAGAGTTTGGAATGAGCCAACACAAGCAGTAAGCCCAGTGAAGGGCAAATTTTCTTGCTCTGCTCGCCAGTGCTAAAGGGCTCCAAGGCTTTAGTTCAAACATCAATGAAACATGAATGCCTTCTACATCTGGGCAATCTGTATCATCTGAGGATAAATCCAAATGTTGATTTGAGTGATTAAAAAAACTACCAGATTAATTAAACAGACTTTGCTTTGGTGTCTCTGAATTCTTGGGGTCTCAAACATTACTTAATAGTTCAGCTCAAAGAGGAAATACAGTCTAGAACATGATCTTTGACCAATCAAAGAACAGAAGATCATTTAACAGGGTTAACTGGGTTAACAGAAATAAGAGCATGTTAATCTTTCCGTAATTTATTGTGCCTGAGTTTTTCTATAAACTGTGACAAGTTCAGAATCGGTTGCTACCTGCTCTGACTGTGTTTTCCGATGGCTCCCACTGTGTTGGCCGGTCTCTTTCCCCTGAGTGTCTGTCTCCTGCTGACATCTGGCCCCACCGAGGCAGGCAGGCTGCTGGTGGTGCCCATGGATGGGAGCCACTGGTTCACCATGAGCTCAGTGGTGGAGCAGCTGATCCACAGAGGGCACGAGTTAGTGGTGGTCATGCCAGAAGTGAGTTGGTATCTGAAGAAATCTTTGAATTTTACAGCCAAAACCTACTCCCTCCCTTACTCTCTGGAGGATTTGAATCATGAAATGAAAATTTTTGCTGACCATCAATGGAAAATTCGGGACAAGAATTTGATTTCTTTATTGACAAGCTCATCCAGCAAAATTTTTGATTATCTTTTCTCACACTGCAAGAGTGTGTTTGACGACAGGAAGCTAGTGAAATACTTGGAAGAGACTTCTTTCGACGCGGTGTTTCTAGATCCTTTTGATATGTGTGGTCTGATTATAGCCAAGTACCTGTCCCTTCCCTCTGTGGTCTTTACCAGGGGAGGATTTTGCCATTATCAGGATGAAGGGACGCAGTGCCCGAGTCCCCTGTCTTATGTCCCTAGAGCACTCTTAGGTTTCTCGGATACCATGACTTTCTGGGAGCGAGTGCAGAATCTCCTCTTCCACATGGAAGAACATTTATTTTGCCACTATTTACTGAAAGTGGCGGTAGATATTGCCTCTGAGAATTTGCAGACCACCATCACCCCCTATGACCTCCACAGCCACGTGTCCATGTGGTTGTTACGAACTGATTTTGTGTTGGACTATCCCAGACCCGTGATGCCCAACATGATCTTCGTCGGAGGCATCAATTGCCATGCGGGAAATCCCCTGACAGAGGTAAGCCCCACGCCTGAGCAGAGAAGAATCCGGCCATCAGTGCTGTACTTCTCTCTCTAAGTGATGGGATTTTCTGTGATCATTTAATTGTACATGTGAAAAATGTGGAATTGTTATTCTGATCATATAGATGTACTGTAGAGTTGGTTTATATGTCACTCCCAATGTCTTTTTTTCAAGTCCTTTGTTTTATAAAGTACTGGAAACCAATGTGAACAGTGAAACTCCCCGAACTGGAACTTTCTCCCTCTCATTACGGAACTGTATTTAGAGGTCTTTGTGATTTGTGTTGCATAAAAAAAAAATTGCACTATGTTCTCTGTTTTTGATGACTAGAATTAATTCCACTAACCAGTCCTGCTAGGTATTTTTACTTTTATACCTTTTTTTTCTTCAAAGTGCAGCAACTTCCTCCAGGGCCATATAGCAGGAAGAGTGGTTGTATGCTAAACATGAGACATCTTTCTGAATTGATCATGTCAAGATTTATCAGTTTGGATACTAATCAGTTTCAAAAAATCGATCCACCTGATGTTCAAACCCTCATTTATTATACTGGCACCCAAAATATCTGAAATCATTTTGTCACCAAACCCCATTGAAAGGTAGAGAGAAGCTCCTCAAATTCATAGTTATGCTAAAGGACATGAATATATTTTACAGTAATCCCTGTTAAATTAAAAAAGATACAAAGAATGATAATAAAGTTCCTATAAAAGTAATATTTCTGTATCAGAGGAGTATGTGTCTTGGAAATTCTTGGTGGATTCATTTCAGACCCAAAGTTAAACCTAAAGTTAACTATTAGTTTTGGGTCTCAGGAATCAAGATGTTCTACAAGTGCCAGCTCGTCATGTGGTACATTTGGACGAAAGATGACTCTCATGACACTCCTATCATTCCTTTTTCAAATTTTTTTCTGGTTTGTCACTTAAAAAAATTTTTTTAAAGTTGTTCATGATGATTTGTTACGGACATTCAATATTCCAACACCAATCCCACCACTTTTTTTAAAAATTAATTTTTATTAGTGAAACACCATGAGGTACAGTTGTAGACTTACAAATTTTTGTGCTTGGTTTTAGATTATACAATGATCAGATACCCATCCCTCCACCAGTGCCCATTTCCCACCACCATGGATCCCAGTATCCCTCCCACACCCATCCCCCATATCCCACCCTGCCTCTGTTCCAGGGCATTCCCTTTTGTTCTCTCTCTCCTTTTAGGTGTTGTGGTCTGCAAAAGAGGCATTGCGTGGCAATCATGTTCGGTCCATAGTCTACTTTCAACATGCATCTCCCATCCTGGGAGGATCCTCCAAACACCCTGTATTTGGTACTCCCTTTTCTACCTGAGCTGCCCTTTTCCCTAGAATGCTTGGCTTGTCTCTAGCAATCGAGTAATCCTCCTGGTACTGATCTCGGCTATTCTTGGGCATTAATCTCCTATTTTGTTACTTTATTTCCCCTGATGAATGCATCTTTTTATGTCTATCCCTCTCTTTTTGACTCATTTCGCTTAGCATGATTCTTTCCATGTAGTACCACTTGTATGTAAATCTCATGACTTCATCTTTTCTGACAGGTACATAGTACTCCATTGTGTAAATGTACCAAAGTTTCTTTAATCAGTCATCTGTTCTCCGGCACTCAGGTTTTTTCCATATTCTGGCTATTGTAAAGTGTGCTGCAATGAACAAACAAGTGCAGATGTCACTTCGACTATACATTTTTGCCTCTCTGGGATATATTCCCAGGAGTGGTATTGCTGGGTCAAATGGGAGCTCAAATTCTAATTTTTTGAGAATCGTCCATACTGTTTTCCAAAAGGGCTGAACCAGTCGGCATTCCCACCAACAGTGAAGGAGTGTCCCTTTCTTGCCACATCCGCACCAGCATCGGTTGCTTTTGTTCTTTTGAATGTGGGCCAGTCTCTGAGGTGTGAGATGGTATCTCATTGTGGTTTTGATCTGCATCTCCCTGATGATTAATGATGTAGAGCATTTTCTCATGTGATTTTTTGCCATTCGGATTTCTTCTTTGAGAAAGTTTCTGTTCATTTCTTTGCCCCATTTTTTGATGGGGTTGGATGTTTTCTTCTTGTGGAGTTCAACCAGTACTTTGTATATCCTTGATATCAACCCCCCGTCAGATGTGTATTCGGCGAATATCCTTTCCCATTCTGTAGACTGTCTTTGTATTTTGGTCACTGTTTTTTTTTTCTTTTTGGGTCACACCCGGCGATGCTCAGGGGTTACTCCTGGCTCATGCACTCAGGAACCGCTCCTGGCGGTGCTCGGGGGACCATATGGGATACTGGGAATCGAACCTGTGTCGGCCATGTTGGCTGTGTGCAAGACAAACACCCTACCCACTGTGCTATCGCTCCAGCCCCGGTCACTGTTTTTTTTTTTTTTGAGGTACAGAAGCTTCTTAGTTTAAGATAGTCCCATTTATCTATCTCTGTTTTCACTTGCTCGGCCAGTGGCGTGGCATCTTTGAAGATACCATTAGCTTCAATGTCATGGAGGGTTTTGCCAACTTTTTCTTCAGTGTACCTTATGGTTTCCGGTCTGATGCTGAGGTCTTTAATCCATTTTGATCTTACTTTTGTACATGGTGTTAGGCAGAGTTCTGAGCCCATTTTTTTGCATGTAGTCGTCCACTTTTGCCAGCACAATTTGTTAAAGAGGCTTTCCTTACTCCACTTCACATTTCTTGCACCTTTATCAAACATTAGATGATCATATGATTGAGGGGAGATGTCAGTGTATTCAACCCTGTTCCATTGGTCTGCAGTTCTGCCTTTGTTCCAGTACCATGCTGTTTTAATTATTACTGCTTTGTAGTACAGTTTGAAGCTCGGGAGGTTGATTCCTCCCATTTTCTTTTTCCCAAGAATTGCTTTAGCTATTCGTGGGGGCTTATTGTTCCATATGAATTTCAGGAGTGTTTGCTCCATTTCTTTGAAGAATGTCATGGGTATCCTTATAGGAATTGCATTGAATTTGTACAATGCTTTGGGAAGTATTGCCATTTTGACAATGTCAACTCTCCCGACCGATGAGCAGGGGATATCTTTCCATTTTCTCATGTCCTCTTTTATTTCCTGAAGTAGCGTTTTTTAGTTTTCTTTGTACAGGTCCTTTACTTCCTTAGTTAAGCTGATTCCTAGGTACTTGATTTTCTGAGGCACAATTGTGAACGGGATTTTTTTTATGTCACTTTCTTCTCTCTCACTGTTTGTGTATAGGAAAGCCATGGACTTTTGGGTATTGATTTTATAGCTTGCAACTTTACTATACAAGTCTATTGTTTCTAGGAGTTTCTTGGTGGAGGTTATAGGGTTCTCTAAGTATAGTATCATATCATTTGCGGATAGTGAGAGCTTGATTTCTTCCTTTCGTACCCAAATTCCCTTAATATTTTTTCTTGCCTAATCGCTATTGCAAGTACTTCCAGTACTATATTGAACAGCAGTGGAGAGAGTGGGCATCCTTGTCTCGTCCCTGATCTTAGAGGGAAGGCTCTCAGTTTTTCCCCATTGAGGATGATGCTTGCTGTAGGCTTGTGGTAGATGGCTTTAACTATGTTGAGGAAAGTCCCCTCTATTCCCATTTTGGCTAGGGCAATCCCACCACCTTTGCACCTTCTCACCTCCATTATTTCCAATTTTCCCAACCACTCCTTAATACTGCCCCAATAGCAGGCTCTCAGTAATTTGTTTTATATTATATTCACTGTATCACTGTCACTCTCTTGTTCATCGATTTCCTTGAGCTGGCACCAGTACCTTCTCCTTCGTCCTTGCCCTGAGATTTTTGAAAGTGCCACATTTGAGGCTCTTTCAGGGTCAGGAGAATGAGACTCATCATTGTTACTGATTTTTAGCCACGAGTAGTTTCCCAGACTCTGCTGTGCTGACAGAATACTTTCAGAGCGTGCCAGATTCTCCAGAGTAAGAACTAGATAATAAGATGTCCAGGAGCTGGTTTTATAGTCTCAGGGTCTTGGCCATTGATGGGATTACACTTCTTGTTGAGACTCACCTGAGCAGTGTTGTGGACCCTAATTCAGAGTCTTGTAGTCCTAAGAAAGCAGCCATGCTTTCTTTTCCCAAGATCCAGGAAAAAGTCATGTAATATCATTATGATGATACATTTATCACAAATATCATAATTCGGATGTTATGTTTATTATATAAGGTCAATTTAGGTTTTTTTAAATTGATTCACTGTGAGAACAGTCATATAGCTTTCAGGTTCAAGTCTCTGTCATACAATGATCAAACACCCTTCCCTTCACCAGTGCACATTTTTCACTACCAAGAACCCCAGTATATCCCGCATCTCGCCCTTCCCCCAGCTTTGTGGCAGATGATTTCCACTTTACTCTCTTTCTCTATATTCTGATTCCAGTAAGGGTTTTACCTGTGAATTTAAACCTCCTGAAGCCTAGGCATCAGGGCAAACTAAAAACTCATGGAAGAGATTCCAGTAAGGGTTTTACCTGTGGATTTAAACCTCCTGAAACCTAGGCATCAGGGAAAACTAAAAACTTATGGATGAGACTCATCCGAGTCTGTGGATATTGGCTGTGAGCATGGCAGCAATTGAGTTCTGGAGGTTTTCAGCTGCTGGGGCTCTGCTAGGGTGGGTGAGTCCCACTACCCATCGCCTTTCAGGCTTTACCAGGATATAACGTTCAGCCTGGCACAGGGCCTGGAGGCATCTCTACAGCTAGTCAATCTCTCCCGAGATTAATTTGTGAGTCTCCCAATGTTTTCTGAGTGCCAGGGTGCTCTTCGCTTTAAATGGCATTTGATGCAGTTCATTTCTTTGAGCAGTGGGGTTGCTTTTTGTTGGTTTTTTTTGTCCTCATTTTTTTAAATGTAGGAGTACTGCATAGTTTTATTCAGCCACTGATTAGCTGTTGAATTGTGCATGAACTCCACCTTACTTTTTTTTCATTTTTTATAATTTTATTTATTGAATCACCATGAGAGCAGTTACAAAGCTTTCGGGTCTAAGTCTCAGTCATACAATGAAACACCCATACCTTTACCAGTGCCCATTCTCCACCCCCAACAACCCCAGTATACGCCCATCCCACACCCTCCCCCTACCTGTGGGGCATATGATTTCCACATTACTCTCTCTCTACTTTGATCACATTCAATTTTTTGACACCAGACTCACCATTATTATTTGAAATTTTACCCTAACACTCAGATCTGCTGAAAAGACAACAGTAGACAATTCGTTTTCTATTGCTGGTTATGAATAACGTATGATGTCGCGTGGCTGCAGTAGTGGCCGCGCGATTTTGAAATTCCGAAATTTTAACACTTAAATCTGGAGGGATTTTTGCCAAAACCTGCTGGGTTCTGAGATTTGCTCCTGAGTCTCTGGGATCATGACCATTAAGCAGCTTGAGAAGGAGCCAAAAAGGCCGTTCGTGGGTGAAGACTTGGGGTCTCGTTGGTATCGGGAGGACAGGACTGGCACCACCCACATCCCATGAGGCCCTGCGTGTCTTGTCACTGTGGGCCCAAACCTGACTGTCCAGTGGCCTCTGGAGGATGGCGGCCACCGAGCCGGTAGGGGGAAGCAGGCGGAGGGACAACACCCTTTCCCTCCTTTGATGGCCCGGTGACAGTAACCTACTGTGGGGTCCGGACGCATTTCTGACAAAAGCCGCTGGGTTTTAAGATTTGTTTCTGAATCTCTGGGATCATGGCCGTTAAGCAGCTTGATTAGGAGCCAGAGAGTCCGTTCGTGGGCGATGACTTGGGGTCTCATTGGGGTGGTGAGGACAGGCCCGGCTCCCGCCCCCCCCCCCCCATCCCATGAGGCCCAACAAGTTTCGTCACTGAGGGCCCAAACCTGACTGTCCAGTGGCCTCTGGAGGATGGCGGCCATTGAGCCGCCAAGGGGAAGCAGGCGAAGGGACAACACCCTTTCTCCCCTTGGTGGTCCGGTGACAGTAAGCTACTGTGGGGTCCGGACGCATTTCTGCCAAAAGCAACTGGGTTTCGAGATTTGTTTCTGAGTCTCTGGAATCATGGCCATTAAGCAGCTTGATCAGGAGCCAGAGAGGCCATTTGTGAGCGATGATTTGGGGTCTCGTTGGAGTGGGGAGGACAGGATTGGCTCCACCCCATCCCATGAGGCCCTGCGTGTCTCGTCACTGCGGCAAACCTGATCAGGAACCAGAGAGGCCATGCCTCCAATATAGCTGAGCCGGAGGTGGTTTGTGGGTGTGTCTCCCACATACCTAACTTTTGGCCATTTACTTTCTTGGTAAACTTTGTCCCAAGTTTTTGGGGTCTGGCCAAAGGCACAGCAGCAATTTTGGGGTATCTGGAAGTCTGAAGGCGCCATTAGGCTGCTGATGCACTCGCCTCACAGGTAAAGATTGACCTGCTGGTTGCACCATACCCCTTTGTCTTTATTTTTGGGTCATACCTCGTGGTGTTCAGGTGTTCAGGGGTTACTCTTGGCTCTACACTCAGGAGTTATTCCTGGCAGTGCTTGTGGGACCGCAGGGATTCTGGGAATTGAATTGAGTCAGCTGCATGCAAGGCAAGTGTCCTCCCTGTTATAATATCACTCCAGATTCTCTTTAGCATAGTTTTTTCCTTTTCTCTTGTATTATGTGAATGTCTATTTTTATTCCAATATAACACTGTATTGGTGATGCTTCTTACTGTAGTTCAAAATCAGGAAGATTAAGTCTCTATTTTCTTGTATCTCAGAATTCCTTTTATTTATTTGGGGATCTTCTGTGGTTATATTAAAATATTAGTATTGTTCATTCAATTTCCTTGAAAACATCATTGATAGTTAAAAAAAGAGATCCATTGAATCACTAGATGGTTTTAGCTAAAATAGCCGTCTTAATCATGTTCATTCTTCCACATCCTGAGCACCTGAGGCTTTCTCTTTATTTGTGCCTTCTCTGCCCTGCCCCCTCCAATAGCTGTCATAGTTTTCAGTGCACAAGTCTTTAATCTCCTTATTCTGGCTTATGTTGTTTTATTTGATCTCTTTCCAGTATTATTGTAAATGGAATTGTGTTTGTTATTCTTCTTTCCCTCCCACTCATTGTTCATGTGTGGAGATGCAACCAGTTTTAATATATTGATTTAGTAGCACTGCACTGTCCTCCCATTGTTCATCGAGTTGCTTGAGCGGGCACCAGTAACGTTTCACAACAAATTGTGAGAACTTGTTGTTACTGTTTTTGGCAAACCGAATACATCACGGGTAGCTTCCAGGCTTTGCTGTGTGGGAGAGACTCTCGGTAGCTTGCCGGGCTCTTCGAGAGGGGCGGAGGAATTGAACCCTCGGCCGATTTAATATCTTGTCATTTTACTGAAATCAGTAATTATTTTAATAACTTAAAAATATTTTTAATGGACTTTGGGCTTTCTTTTTACAGTCGTGTCATCTTCCAATACTGTTTTCATTTTTTTCTAGTTTGAATTCCTTTTATTCCGTTTTATTACATAATGATTCTGACTAGAGCTTCCAAAACTGTGTGTAAAAGTACTTGCAGGTGCTTCTGACAAGCACAGACGGGTGTCTGAGGCACGGAAGGAAATGAATTCAGGTAGATGAGTCAGCTCATCACCTGACTAGAACGGCCCATGGGTGTATTGCTGATCCTGGGTTAGCCTCTCGTGGACTCGAAGAGTTTTGAATGAACCAATCAGAGCAATAATGCTGACATTGTCATACCCAGGGAAGGGCAGGCAATTTTTCTTGCTCAGGATGTCAGTGCTAAAGGGTTACAAGGCTTTATTTGAAACCTCAATGCCTTCCAAATCTGAGCAATGTTTTGTTGTTTGAGGATAAAATAAAAAATTTGCTATGGTCATTAAAAATCTACCAGGTTAATTAAACTGGCTTTCCTTTTGATGTCTCTGAGTTCTGGGGGTCTCAAAGCATTGCTTAAAAATTCAGTTCAAAGAGGACATAGAGTCCTGAACATGATCTTTGACCAATCAAAGAGCAGAAGCCCATCTAATCTGGTTCATGCCAATAGCAATCGAAGCACATTAATCTTTCCATACGTTATTATCTCTTCACTGAGTGGGTGAGTGCACGCCCTCTCTTGGGCAGGACCTGTGCCCGGGTTTCTTCTACAACTGTGTCAAGCTCAGAATCGGCAGCTCCCTGCTCTGGCTGTGTTTCCTCATGGCTCTCACGGTGTTGGCTGGTCTCCTTCCCCTGAGTGTCTGTCTCCTGTTGACACCCGGCCCCACCGAGGCAGGCAGGTTGCTGGTGGTGCCCATGGATGGGAGCCACTGGTTCACCATGAGCTCAGTGGTGGAGCAGCTGGTCCAGAGAGGGCACGAGTTAGTGGTGGTCATGCCAGAGGTGAGTTGGCAGCTGAAGAAATCATTCAACTTTACAGTCAAGACCTACTCGCTCTCTTACTCTATAGAGGATGTAAATCGTGAATTCAAGAGGTTCGTTGATGTGCAATGAAAAATTCGAGAACAAAATTTACTTTAAATGATGATGACGACACCCACCCAATTTTTTGATTACTTTTTCTCTCATTGTAAGAGCTTGTTTGAAGACAGGAAACTAGTAAGATACTTGGAAGAGACTTCTTTCGATGCGGTATTTCTAGATCCTTTTGATATGTGTGGTCTGATTTTAGCCAAGTACCTGTCCCTCCCCTCAGTGGTCTTCACCAGAGGGGCATTTTGCTATTTTCAGGATGAAGGGACTCAGTGCCCGAGTCCCCTGTCCTATGTCCCTAGAGGACTCTTAGGTTTCTCAGATACCATGACATTCCGGGAGCGAGTGCAGAATCTCCTCTTCCATGTGCAGGAGCGTTTATTTTGCCGCTATTTTCTGAAAACGGCTGTAGATGCTGCCTCTGAGATTTTGCAGACCACCATCACCCCCTATGACCTCTACAGTCAAGCGTCCATCTGGTTGTTACGGACTGATTTTGTGCTGGACTATCCCAAACCTGTGATGCCCAACATGGTTTTCATTGGCGGCATCAACTGCCATGCAGGAAAGCCCCTGACACAGGTAAGCCCTGTGCCTGAGCAGAGAATGCTGAATCAGGCCCTGGGTTCTGTGTTTCTTACTGAACTAGGCTAGTAGTTACTTTTATTGCATTTGCCATTTGTCTCTGAGTGAAAGACTTCTCTTTGGTATTTTGATTGTGCACTAGAATGTTACATTAAGCTGCTCTCTTCATGTGGATGTACCATATAGATGGTTTGTATATCAGTTCTTCTTTTTATGTTCTACGTTTGGTACTGAAAGTCCCTGTGAGCAGTGACACTTCCTTCATTGATAATCCTATGGCACCCCCTAATGGGAATGAATTCCTAGAGATCTCTGCCTCTTACCTCAATCTGTGTTGCACAGCAAATTTCAGAGTATCCATCACTTTGGACGTACCCGCATTTATTCTGAGAACCAATATTGCTAGGTATTTATACTTTTCCCTATATTTTAAATGATGAAACAAAATTATTTTAGGTCCGTGTCACAGGAAAAATTTTTTTTTCTCTTCGGGTCACAGCCAGCGAGACACAGGGGTTACTCCTGGCTCTGCACTCAGCAATTACTCCTGGTGGTGCTCAGGGAACCATATGGAATGCTGGGATCAGCCGTGTGCAAAGCAAACGCCCTACCCGCTGTGCTATTGCTCCAGCTCCACAGAAAGGAAATTTATGTTAAACTCCCGACATCTTTTCTCATAGAATTGCATCAAGTATTAGCATTATTGCATTATAAAGAACTGCAAGAAAATTATGACATGAGTATAAAGACAGCACTCATCTTAGGAAGGAGAACGTGATGGTTAACATGGTGAACAAGACAAATAGGAATGCTATGGTGCAAGTTTCTCTTTGTGATAAACTTTTTCTGTATAAAAATACATAACATTGGGACTGGAGTGATAGCCTTGCGTGCTGCCGACCTGGGTTTGATTCCCAGCATCCCATTTGGTCTCCTGAGAACCACCAGGATTAATTCCTGTGAATCATCAGGTGTGACCCAAAATGCAAAGATAAAAATAAAAAAGAAACTCTGCTTTTTTTAAAAAAAAACATAATGTCTCACAAAAAAGAATTATCACTATCAACTCATCATTTTTGTGAGAAAATGTACTCTGAAATTCAAGACTTTCAGCAAACCCTCACATATTAGCACTGGCACAAGTAATGTCTCCGTTCAGCAACCATCCTAGCCAGGTAGTGTACTCTCTGAAATAAATATGATTATAGCTAAAAAGCATGAGCATATTTTACTATCATCTTTTAAACTACAATGAGTTAGAAGGGATAATAATCTAGTGCATGTACAGTGACACTTGTTTGACAGGTAGGAGTAGGGGAATGACCTGTTCTTGGTGACGCTGCTTCAGATCTCAGTGCGAAGGAAATGGAGCATTGATTTGGGGTCATAGAATTCGAGACAATGACTTCTAGCTTGTCACCGATGTGCGCTGGAATGAGTGATCTTTCTCATGGTACTGTCCTTTTCATTTTTTAAAACATTTATGTCATTAAAATCTTTTGGGAAGTGTCCCACCTGGTGATGCTCAGGGATTGCTCCTTGCTCTGAACTTAGAAATCACTTCTGGTGGTGGTCAGGGGATTGAACCCAGGTTAGCAGCGAGCACAGCAAGAACATACCAGATGTACTTTCGTTCCGGCCCCTGTAATTATTTTTTCATTTATGTTACCTCGTACCATCTTCCTTGACTGTTCTTTGTTTGCAATGACTCATTCCTTGGCTGCAGGGCTCACTTGTGGTTGGGGTGTGCACTGGGTGGCACTACTTGTGACACCCTGCCTCCCCTTGCAGTGTGGGACATAACATTCAAGGGTGTGGAAACTTGATCCAGATCAAACTTCTGGCCCCACGTGCTTGAGACTGACCCCGAATCACATTCCCAGGTCCTATTTTTTTTTTTTTTGCTTTTCAGGTCACACCTGGCGATGCTCAGGGGTTACTCCTGGCTTTGCACTCAGGAATCACTCCTGGCGGTGCTCAGGGGACCATATGGGATGCTGGGAATCGAACCAGGGTCAGCCGCGTGCAAGGCAAATGCCCTACCTGCTGTGCTATTGCTCCAGCCCCAATATTTTTTTTTTATAATCAAGGTGGTACTAAACATAGTGAGTTTATATTCATATATGTCCATATTCTTGGTCTTGTCTTAGAAGGCCAGAATCTAAGAAGCAGTTAGGCTGGTTAAAAACAAAACAAAACACAATACAACAACACTATCCCATTTTGATGAAGTGGACAGGTTGCTTTGACAACACTGAATGATTTAAGAAAACTAGTTGTCCTAGGTTTTTGCTCCCAACAAACTTGCTGGTCCAGCCACTTTGGATCGTGTTTGTCCTTTGTACCAGACAAGGTCTGGAAAATAGAGTGTTAAGACTCGGGACAGGTTCCCAGCATGTGAATCCAGAGGAAACAGTGCACGTCTTACTCCAGTAAATCACTTACTTCTTTTTAACCACAGCGGTTAAAACCTGCTTCAGTGGTTCAGTGCATTTGGTAAGAGCTGGCCCCTCACCTGACATGCTTTTGGGTATATACCTTTAAGGTGAGAACTACCACACCAGGCTGCTTTTCCTTTGTGCCCAGGGGTGGGTTCAGAGTGTGGCACTCCGGTTGTCCTGCTGTGACCCATTTATGTAACCAGACACACCTGTGACCTCTGGGAACCGGGTGAAAGTTTTTCACAGAATCACCCAGGTCAAGTTCACTTGTCTTTGTCATCTTGGCTTGGCTTGTGTTGTCTCTTGTTTCCTGGAGTGAAACATGGACACACACTCATCTCCCCTGCTCTTTTACCTCAAGTGTCATGTCTTGGGAGTGCCCTCAGTCCTGGGACGGACAGAGAGTGTCGGTCACCTCACCTGGTCCCAGAGATCTGCTGCTGGGATCAGGGGACAGGGCTACTAGAAAACCTTTGTTCTTCCTACCTCTGCCTTCTGCTTGGACGCCAGAAGGTGGCTCGTTTCTTGCAAGCAAACCAGAAATAAAGGCGTTTTGTTTTGGCAATCCTGCCACAACGAAGAGGCCCTAGACAGTGGTCATCACCCCGGACCTGGGGTTCCTGGGTGCTAAGGTTGATGGGATGTTCTGTTGTCATCTTGGTCTCCATCCTTCGTGGGCTCAGTCACATCTCCTGTGCCAAGGGGACTTGGAGGTGGCATCAGGCCAGAGCGAAACTGAGTGGAGTTTGCTCCCTGCCCAGCCCTTCTTCATCATAATTCTTTATTAGCGTGGAGATAAGAGCTTTTCTTCTTTAATAAGGGTCTGCTGTATTTACTGCTGATGCTAGGAGTGAGGAGGTCAGAACAAAGAGGGAATGGTTGTCCCTTAGCAAAACGTGTGCAAGTGTGCAGTGGAGCGAGATTTTCACTGTGATCCAAGGAAAAGGGTGTGCGCATGTGGGACTCGAGCATTCAGTTGGGTAAGAGCCGTTCCCCTGGCTGACCCATAGCGACAGACGAACAAAGGACCAAGGGATGGGATAAACTGGGCCCGGGTCCCAGCCTGATCGATAGTTTATTTCTCTCTCCTCCCCAGCAGAGTCTGATCTCTCCCCTTGTGGTGCAATCGTAGTTGTAGTTTTGCTCGTAGTCCCAGTCATCATAGTTCCATCGTTCTAGTCTCCTTGTTCACCTCAAAGTTCTCACTTTTGTTTTCTCCTTCCCAGTCTCATTGTATTCTGACAGTGTCCTCATCGTCCTGTGTTCTTGTCTTCCACGTTCCAAAATGCCCTTATTTCCCCTTACAGCATAGTTAGATAGAAATCATGTAGAGGGGGTACACACAGGTGCGGTTGAACATTGTCCGAACAACAACATTGTCATCATAACAACAGGGAAGTTCTACAGGATTAACTCAAGGACAAAATTTTATCTGAAGGTTCAGCACTGTAGATTACTAAGAGATCCGCTCAAGGGAGGGATTCCAACCAGGCTGTATTGCTTCCTCCTTTCCTCAGTTAGCAATAATCATAACCGTTTAAATAATCATAGTAAATTTACTTCTTATAATCTTTCTAATCATTTTGTACGGACACAGTAAGACATATATGAAGCTCAAAGGTTGGCTCTTCCTAGGGACATCTTTCTATATATCCCAGACCACAGTCCTCAGGCCAGGTCAGTCTTTCCTAACCCCAGCAGGGTCCTTATTCAGTCACTTCTTTTTGGGTCATGACAGAGTTTGTTCCATGACCGTGCTCTTAAGGTAAAGGTAAAGGCCCTCCCGTTGATTGTCGATTTGCTCGAGCGGGCCCAGTAACGTCTCCATTGGAGACTTTGTTGTTACTGTGTCTGGCATATCGAATACTCTCGGTAGCTTGCCGGGCTCTCCGAGAGGGGCAGAGGAATCGAACTCAGGTCGGCCATGTTGGCCGCTTGTAAGGCGAACGCCCTACCCGCTGTGCTATCGCTCCAGACCGTGCTCTTAACTTATTATATTTATGGTACTTAGTTTGTCTCCTTTTGATGCCAGGGTAGCTTACAGCTTGTCCTGGGTCCATCCAGTACTTGCATTGGTACCCTGCTTTTGGTGCGCTAAGAACTAAGGGCAACTGAGACTTAAGCTAAGTAAATATGGATGCCCAGGAGTAAATATTATTTTGGAGTCAATTACAAAAGCATAGCATGAACAATCTTCCTGTTTCTGTACAAAAAGGAAATTGCTAAATAACCACACAAAGAACATAAAGGAAAGAGAAAAGCAATATAGGATTATTAGTGCCTGATGGAACTGGGTGCGCCTCCGGGGCAATATTGTGGGAGTAATTCAATAAATCTAAGTTCACTGCGGAGGAGCAAGTGTCCTTGTCATCCAACAATACGTGGATGTCATCCAACATCCCAATGTCATCCAACAATACGTGGTGGCTGGTAACCAGACCTGCAGGAACCCACGTTTTCTTGCACCCAAATCTGCTACATAATCCACATACTCAGCTCCCGGGATTCCTCAGGGAAAAGGACTGAGCGATCACTGCTTTCCTTGAAATCCTGGAGCCCTAGGATGGTTTGCTGCATTTCTTGGCCAACACTTCAGTTTTATGTTGAAAAGTTCCTGCGGAGTCATGG